TTCTTGTTGTTAAAACACTCAATGTGCGTTCATACTCTTCTGCGTGCCAATTCACGTATCACGTCAAAGTTCACTTTTTGCCTTGCGGTGCAATTCAGCGTGATACCATGCCCGTTCGCAGATTAAGGGTGGGCATAGCTCTGGAGAAATCGAATTGATTCACGTTGGATTTCCAACGTGAGTTCTATACGCATGCTCGGCAATTGTTGCAAAATATAAACAAAGTGTTTAGAATTTCTCGTCGAAAATTTGATACTTTTTACACTGAAATCGAATTGAAAACAACTAAAAATTCTGGGGGAAAGCTTCGGATTGATAGGGATACAACTACCTGAAAAGTACAAGGAAAACTTCGACATTTCGTGCGAAGGCGCTTCGACATGTATTGTACTATAAATTGTAGTGTTTGTATACATCGTACTTTACCTTTACTGATAAATATAATCTCCTCAAGAATGAGTATAATATATATGTGCTTTAAAATTTACATTTAACTCTCCTGTCAGAATTTATGGTATACGTAGTGTTAGGTACGACAGTATAAAAGGTCAAATACGAGTATTGTATACAAACTATTACAGTACAAGTCGCTTCGCCTTCGCTCGAAACGTCGAAGTTCTCCTTGTATTTTTCAGGTACTTGTTTCCCTATCAATCCGAAGCTTTCGTACATATTTCCCCCAGAATTTCTATTTGTTTTCAATTCGATTTCAGTGTAAAAAGTAGCAAATTTTCGACAAGAAATTCTCAATACTTTGTTTATTGCTAAGCATATATGCGTAGAGCTCACGTTGGAAATCCAACGTGCTATCTGCCGCTAGCCAATCAGCGGCCTGAATCAATTCGATTTCTCCAGAGCTATGCCCACCCTTAACCTGCGAACGGGCATGCTCGGGGAACGAGATTGTCCACAATACGGTTATGTTCACGTACTGTAAGAAGAGTGAATGTAATACTGCTGCATAGCCCGCGTGCAGGCCCAAGGGAACTGATAGTGGGCCTGCAAGCAAGGCCCGGTATTTTGTAAAACGCCCCTTTTCATAACACGCCCCATTCGCGCGTCAATTGTCAAAAAAGAACCAATGACAGCACCCAAATATTGACAAACAAACTCGCATTAAAATGTTGCGGGGTTTTCTCTGCTTATTCAGAACATAAACAATGTGTAAACGGCTGCGTTTTAACTCCAAAAAAGCAAGCAACGCAGTCAGTAATTGCCAAATTTGCAAGTGCTCATTTTCAACTAAAATCGTAACAGAAAACCAGTCTCAAACTTCAAATCGTGAGGGAAGTCGTGCGACCACATTAGCATTCGCTGTCGCCATTGTTATAAATAAATTGTCTCACTTATCAGATCGTGTGTGCAATTCTTGTTGGCGGCGGAAAGTACGAAATTTATTTCAGTTATTTCATTTGGTAAAGATATAAAGAACTCTACAAAAGAAGAGAGCGTTCAGAGTCCAGATCGTTTCGTTTCAAACGGCAATTTAATACCATCTTCTGTTTCGCTCTCTCAGCGAAGCCTTGTAAATCGTAAAGTGTTTCGAATAGGCTTACATGCAACTGCATCTCAACATCAACCAAAAGATCATTTTCTTGAGGAACATATAACGTATCAACTCTGTTTGAAATTAATGAAACTCAAGTGTAAAGGTTACTATAGTTTACCCCAGTCGTAATGTTGCTATTCCAACACCTCACGACAAGCAATCCCCATTGGCATAACGGCAAAAACATCTCTTCCTTCAAGTAAACAATAAACAGTCTGTTCTTGTTCCATTTGTAATCGAAAAAAGTGATCAATTTTCGAATTTTAAGCTTATCGAGAGAATATCGAGAGCCTTTGTGATGAATCACTGACCTAATTATAGAATCCAACAGCAAACAGCCAATCAGAATGCCGCGTTCGTGGGCGAACGCGGAAAGTACAAAATACCGGGCCTTGCTTGCAGGCCCACTATCAAGTTCCCTTGAGCCTGCTCCCTTGGGCCTGCACGCGGGCTAACTGCTGCATGGTGACGGTTGTTCATTTGATCTCAAATATCCAGTTAGGAAAGAGTTTCCAATGATAGATCTAGGGTAAATAGTTTCCCGTCTATGCCTTGTGACGATTTCAATAAGCCACCGTCTTCTGTAAATTGTAAGCAAGAAGTACGCGTACTGTACTCGTGTATAAGAGTTAGAACGTTAGATATTTTTACGCTAACAATTAAAACATCCAAAACGCTGATAATTTTATCGTATATATATATATATATATATATATATATATATATATATATATATATATATATATATATATATATATATATATATATATATATATATATATATATATATATATATATATATAAATATATAAATATATAAATTAAGGTACAACAAATCAACAAAATCCACTAGGCATCTTTATTACTAAATAGTTTCGTACCACAGTATGTGGCACTCTTCAGATAAATTGACCTAATGACTATAGACTAAAACTTACAAGGTTATATGTACAAGTGGATGAGACATGAAACTTAATCCTATTTACAAAGCACGCGATTTAATAAACTATGAAGTTTTTTAGCGGACAAAATATCTGAAATGTATCAATCGAGTTTATGCGCTATAAATTGATGTTATGTGCTATACATTGATGTTATGTGCAAATACATCGATGTCATAAACCGATACAACTAAAAGATAAACCGATACAACTAAAAGATAAACCGATACAACTAAAAGGTAAACCGATACAACTAAAAGATGAGGAAACGGAAGTAAATACCAATAAAAGATGAGGAAACGGAAATAAATACCAATAAAAGATGAGGAAGCGGAAGTAAATCGGAAAAACGGAAGTTAAGCGACGCGGCAAAATTGCGCGTTGCCAAGTAGTACGTGCGCCAAGCTGGTGAATACATATTGAAAAACATGGCAGAAGAGAGACAGGGCAGAATACCAAATGTTCAGGATTTTGACAATTGCTCAGTCTATCTTAAGCGCGGTGACCAATTTACAGCATTCGATTCTTCGCAAACACGTGAAGAAAACACATCACAAGGTGGTTCAGTGCAGCAGTTCACATCGTTACCCGAAGAACTGAATTCTCGTTTCCGAATACCACGTACTCAGAATTCGTGTGTGCCAAATTAATCTACGACAATAAAAGTCTGGCGAGTCACAATGAGTGCGACTTTGTTCAGCATTTCTTATTAAATCAACCAATTCACGAAAAAAGTTTTCTGTATTAGGAAGCCAAATACATGGTTCAAGAGACGCCATTGTTGTTTGTCGCCGCATCGCTTAACTTCCGTTTTTCCGATTTACTTCCGTTTCCTCATCTTTTATTGGTATTTACTTCCGTTTCGTCATCTTTTATTGGTATTTACTTCCGTTTCCTCATCTTTTATTTGTATCGGTTTATCTTTTAGTTGTATCGGTTTATCTTTTAGTTGTATCGGTTTACCTTTTATTTGTATCGGTTTATCTTTTAGTTGTATCGGTTTATCTTTTAGTTGTATCGGCTTATGATATCGATGTTTTGCACATAACATCAATGTATAGCACACAACATCAATTTATAGCGTATAAACTCGATTGATACATTTCAGATATTTCGTCCGCTAAAAAACTTCATAATAAACATGTTATATGATAAGTTGACAGGACGCGGATATTATGGATAATCAAAATCCATTCTATTTCCAATAAAGGTCCATACACTTTCCATTCTATGGCCTTCTATGGATTTTCAATTTTTTTCCCAGTGATCCTGTGCAGTCCTGAAACTTATCCCCGAGCCGACGGGGCGAAGTGCCTTGCGAGTGTACTAATCCCCCCGGCTATTTACACCCGGGGAAACGAAAGCATTAGGGAAGTCTAAAGTTCATCAATTATCAACCATGGGTGACCAACCATGGGTGGTCATCCTTACTGATCTCAAAAATATGGCGGACTGTCATGAATAGCGGACACTGATTGGTCCAATTTAAAGTTTGCATTATAACGACTGCATGACGACAGCGAAATAACAAACATTTCTTGATTTGATGATTGGTAAATTTCGCATTTTTGCAAGATTTTGTAAATTCCAGAAAGGGCGAAAGAATCAGCTAAAAGAAGGGAGTCGACGTTAACGAAGGTAAGTTTGTTTTAAATATTGATTTTATAATGGCTTTAAAACCCGACGGCCTTTGCGTATATGAAACAACTAAACAAGACAACATATAATTTCAGTGTATCTTTAATATTGATTCCCTTTTTTATTATATTGAATTTTTTTAGATAAAAAAGGAAGCAAAGTTATTTGCAAGCGAGAATTTGAAATAATTTTATTGCAAACTCAAAGTTTATCGATAAAGCCATTTAATTAAAGGCAGTTTAGTTTTATAAAGAGCGCTTTAAAACGTTTTGCGAAGCGTTTGCATGTGGTTGAATTTTACCTTCAATTGAGGCTTATATTACGTATAATAACATAGCTAACATATATATGTTGGGAAATTGATAATTTTGTAATTAAAAGTGATATTTTTAGGCGATTTTTCATTTGTAAGAATATTCTTAAAAAATTATCATGTTACCATGACAACTACTTTAGATACTTCATGTTCGAAAAATACAATGGTTTTGTCAGCAAGGCGAGGGTTTCTGCATGCATGTGTTTTCTATAGTATAAATTAAAATATACATCGTTATAAAAGGTTTAACAACACATTTTGTCAATAAGCTTCGTGTTCATTCGTCAAACGCCAGGCCATGAAATTTATGAAAACCAAACACGGATTCCATTATATGATCAAATACAGATGGATAACTGCATGTGTATATGCGCTGCAATCATAATGTCCTTTTACACTATTATTACACTTAATTGCTTACTATTATTTAGAGAAGAAAAATTTTACACATTGAAACCAGAAGAATACGTTGTAAAAGTTGAACATTCAATAATTGCCACCAAATTTTTTGGTAATTCTAAAAGTGACATGATAGCCGGATCACAGAGGAGCATGAAGGGTTGGTTATATGATGCTGATGGATCACAAATTCGTGAGTAAGTTAGTTTTGTATACATGGTTTGAATGTGCATGTTTATTTCGTAAATGATAAATTAAAATAAAGTATAAGGACCTGTATATGATATATTAAACGCCCGGCACTACTCCACAAACGTCCCGTCTCCAAAATTATCTTTAATTAATGCTCCTTGTGAAGTATTGATGTCCGTTTTTAAACAACCTGATAAAGCAAGACAAAATTAAAACAACTTATAGTTCATATATTGTACTGTAGTATTTATTCAAATGTTTGCTCATTAACGACTGTCGAATAGTTTCCTACTGTATTTCGAGCTTAAAATGTGGGTATCGCTTATATTTGCACGAAAATTGCGAGGACAACCATGAGGCCCACTTGGAATTAACTGCATTACATCGCCTTTGATGTCACTGTCTGAATATTTCCTATTGCCGTTATTGTTAACTGATTATTTTCCGTTGAAGTTATTGAATGACGGTCATGACGATTAAGGTTACAGGACACCCTTTTGGGCGTTTTACAGAAAATCGCTACTGCGCGCTCAATATCAGTCCGATTTTCATCAAATTTTCACCAAATGTTCAGTCTCCAGTGCATGCAAAATATTGACAAACAATAAAATAATATTGACAAACAAAAATAGAATAAAACAATAAAATAAAATTGACAAACAATAAAATAATATAAGAAATATTCAGGAAAATCTTAAATCGCGGTACCTTTACGCTTTTGAGTTGTGTTCCTGCTGGTTTTAAGATATATTTATGAAAATATAATTTTTATACAGCAAATAGTTGTTCTAAAAAATTGTGTTCGGAATTTTTGTTTATTTCGTCATTCCGCTGATATGGCGATTTCTTTGACGACTGCAGTATATTTCTGAATCGTTTGAGTGAATTGCTCCTCATTATGAAATATCCAAAATTAGAAAAAAGCCGAACGCAATTTCGAAACTAACGTCTGTAGCTATGTCCTGCGAAAATTTGAGAAAAATTCGTTAAAACCCGCAGGAGAACAACTCATTTGAAAATCAGTAATTACTCGCTGGGGCACTCTGTGCCCCAGACGAGTATAGGTTTCGGCATGGTTCTCCAATCTCCGATCGTCGACAGTCACAAAATAGAATATTAATGAGCTGCTTGATCCTTTTCAAAATGGCGGGGCCTTTCGTGAAGTGGGCAAAATGTTTCAAACAATTCCGTGCCCAATTGCGTGAAAATTTTGGCCGAATTGTACCTGTTTTCTATGGATTTTGCATTGTGTCAAACTCAGGACATTCATGCTAGTTTATTTAATGCGTTTTCCTTGGTGAACGACTCTGAAAATTCGAAATTCACTAAATTTGGATCGTTGAATTCCCGTGCACGATCATAATATACTGAATCTGAATATAAACGAGCCAAAGACAATTTCAAGGTAAAGGTTATTTATTAAAACTACGTTCTGCAGTTTAAGTTATAACTACTTTATGAGAAGCATATTCGTGTCATATCAATATAAATTAATTTATCGAACAACAGTCCGTGAAAACTGTCTGTAGACTGTATAGTGTACACAGTGTGAAATATCATATTGTATTTGTATAAAATGCCTCTTAATGGCGCAATAAGGATAAAAATACGACCGTTCGATTCAGCGTAAGAAATTGTACTTACGGATGAGAAATTGTACCTACGGATGTTAAATGTATTACTAAACAACTGACAACAGTATTATAGCTATTTATGGCCTTTGACTTTGTCTTTAAAAGCAAAGCGAAATTGTATTATTTGTTGACAAATCGCTCAAATAATATATAAAAGATGCAGTACGTCTTTGGTATCATTGGTTTTCTCTTTTTCGGCCGTACACCAGTGGAGTCGTCTCACTTCTCTCTTCATTTTGATAATATTTTGAGCCGAAAAGCCCAAAAATATTTTATTTTAAACGTTTTAAACTGGCGGCCGACAGAAGAATGTAGCGTATAAAATATAACTTTACTTGTGGCCCGAGCTAAAGGGGAAACTTTCGGCGTTTATGGCTAGGCTTAATTTCCACGCACGTAAAACTTTAAATCAGTAAAATAGCCAAATAAATAAAGCAACAGAATTTACTGTTACGAACGCTTTAGTATGAATTTGTTAACTTATTTGTAAAATATTTGAAAATAGAAAGATTCAAAGTTTTACGTGCGTGTAGCCGTGTATACGTGAGTACGAAAAACGCAACAGTGGAAATCAGCCTTTAAAGGCCTGATTTCACGGGCGCTTTTTCTCGGCGAAATGCAAAATATTTCCCCTGCTTCTTTTGAATTGTGAGCAATCAAGTAGAATTAATTTATTCGAGTAGTCGCAATTCAAAAGAAACAGGCAAAATAATTCGCATTTCGCCGACAAAAAGCGTTCGTGGAATCAGGCCTTTAGATCTTAACAGTAATGTGCGTCAGTACTCAGTTGTGTAGCCCCAGCGAGTTAACGCTCCACAGAGCGTCTTGTTGCCGTAAAATTCTTCGGGAGAAAATTAAATTTGAACATTACATTTTCAATCTTTTTCTTATTACAGCGAAATGTAGTTTATTAAATAACTCTGCGAGTTTTCAACATTTTTCGTTCAAACTTGGACATATAGTAGAACCAGTCTAATGCTTTCATGCAAACCAGTAAAAAAACTTAGGCAAAATTAACACTCAAAGGTGTTCTGTAACCTTAATAGTAATAATAATATTTATTAATTTATATTCAATGATCGAATGCGCATTACAACTATTGATACTAGTATTATAGAAGGATAAAAACAATTTATGCCAAATCATCGTACGGCCGTACGCTAATCTATAAAAATAAGTTTTAAGAAGCGTCCTAAAACAGTTAACGTTCTTTGCATTCCAAATTTCTGTGAATGGCCTTAAAAGTTATTAACAAAATTTTAAATTTAATACGAAATCTACTATCCACTACAGTATACTATCCACCAGATTTTTTCAACCATATTAAAAATGCTTGAAAAGCTGTGAAACCACGGACATTCAATAGGCCGAAACTATATTTCACAAATACTGAAGTTTAATCTGGGTTATACCGATCAATGGACAATTTTAAAAGACGCTTCAAAAAATCACTATTCGGTGGATAGCGCTATCCGGCCTTTGTAGCCTACAACTGGCCCCAGATGTGCCTGGCTCGGGCGTATCGATGCTCTTTCATCTCTGCCTTTACTCTTAAGGATGAAAAAAGGAGCAGACAAATTAACAATACGAGAGTTATTCTCGGCCGCCGGTGTGGGAAGTCTTGAGCAAGTGTCTGACGCTTTAAATGCGAAAGGTAAAACATACCGCCGTCATGGTCTGGTTCTGCATGTCACCATTAAATACACAAACATTCATGGAAGTTGGTTTGGAACTGGGTAAGTTTCTCATCAAGCAACCGATTGTATACAAAACAATTGATCCATTATATATAGCTTCTCTATAGTATAAGACATACTGTACTGTAGGAGGAAAAGTGCTTTGCCTCCGTATAATTCATAGGAAAAATCAACACTGTTTTTTTAAGCATGCATGGCAGAGTCGGGGTATATTCGTGTCATAATGGGAAGAGCGCAAAATTTTATATTCTCGCGTCTTGTTTATTTTAAATATTATTCTTTCCATGACTCATTGTTTCAACCATATTAGTATGGCCTGAAAATTGTGGACAAAAGCGTGTTTCGGCTACGGTAGTTTATCGGTGCCACCCGACAATGGCACCCCATGCATGCAGTTGGAATGTATGCTTGCGTCATTCTGTAACACTTTCGTCGACACTTTCGTGTTTTTAAAATTTGAAAAGATCTGCATTTATTTCAATAAAAGTCGTAGTGCTGCAAATGTTGCCAGACGTACAGAATTGTCATTACCTGGTTTCATTCATATAACTGCATGGTGTTCGTTGACTTCGCCATACGAGATCTGAATTTCAATAATAGTCGTAGTCATTAATTTAAAAGACATGTATGTATATATTGATTGCAAATTATAATACTTCGATTGCAATTATAATTCTTCGATTGCAATTATATTACTTCGAGTACTGCAATCAATCTTTAAGCATTTTCCCCACCCAGGAAGTGCACAGCAAAAAATCACTTTCTTATTTTAAGAAAAAAACAACTTATTTTAAGAAAATTTTCTTAAAATAAGTCCAAATTTTCTTGGGAGACTGGTAAGAAAATTTTCTTACTAATTTTCTTAAGAATTTTTTTCTTAAGAAAATCATAAGATTTTTCTTAAAATAAGAATACCAATTTCTTATTTTAAGAATATTTTTTCCTTTAAAATTTCTTATTTTAAGAAAATTTTCTTAAAATAAGTCCAAATTTTCTTGGGAGACTGGTAAGAAAATTTTCTTACTAATTTTCTTAAGAATTTTTTTCTTAAGAAAATCTTAAGAAAATCATGAGATATTTCTTAAAATAAGAAAACTCAATTTCTTATTTTATAAATATTTTCTCTTTAAAATTTTTTAGTTTAAGGAAGAGGTATATTTTTATTTTATAAGGACCAACAAGTTATAGTAATGATATATTGATTATAGACTGGAAGCAATTATAAAGAATACATGGCACCTTGCATGCAATAGTTTATACTGTATATAAATATATATAAATATATACCACATGATATTCATCATATAGTAATATATACCACATGATATTCATACAGAAAAATATATACAGAAAAATATATACCACATGATATTCATCATACAGTACATACTGTATTAGTACCAGCTTATTGCATATCAACTTTGAAACTCTGGTAGCTTGTCATCGTCGACTTAAACAAATTGGCAATGTCTTGTGACACATTTGTGTCTTAAAAATCTAATGCTGAAAAACATTCAAACCAATTTCCTGCATCTGCGAATAATCAAAATCCAGAAGGTAGAAACTGGCAAGAAGTGCAAGTACTGCCTCATTCAAATTGGACATCTCCATGACATCTCATATGTATTGTTTCAAGTTTTAAACACTGAAGACGTTCACAATCACATTATTTGTATGAAGGTGAATTTGTGTGCGATGACTGATGAGGATATAAAGTGACTGGTCAACAGGGATTTTTAGCCAGTCATTGACTGTTGACTGGCCGTTATCTTGAGCCCGGGATGCATGCGACGAGGACAAGTTACCTAGCTGCTGGTCTACACTATTTAATATACTGTATCAAACAATTAAATAAATTAATGGAGAGAGTATAGACAGTACATATACACATGCCAAATTCAATGTTCTACTCTAAATCAGCCTTGAATTTTCGGAAACTTGTTAGTGCTGACTGAAATGAATCGGCAACCTCTTGAGGAACATTAATGTCTTGAAATACATAATGCTCATGGAGAACAATTAATCCAATCTCCGGAAAGTGTGGATAATCAAAAACTAAAAGATAAAAACTTGCCAGCACTGCAGTGCTTCATTCAGCTCTGTTACGTCCACTTCGGCCAGAATTCTCTTTCCAACGATAACACTGTAGGTAACATTTCGTCTTTTCCACCAAGAGGACAGGTACTTTACCAGAACGTTTGGAGCACCAAACTTCATGGTGTTCGTTATCCTAACAAAAAATTACATGGATGTACAGTATGCATGATATATGATTAATTACATAGTCATTTAAATATAAAGTAAAAATAAAATAGACTTTCACGTTGGCTGTGTGAACATAACAGACTTAAGACCCTCCTCCGCTCATGGCAAAAACCAACTCGCAAGCTAGCTATTGTACAAGACATTATCCAATCACAATGCTCAACAGTTTATTTCAATAAGATGGAAGCACTCACAGCAGGCTGGTCACTTGGTTTTGCAATGAGTGGAAAAGAGCTTTTAAATTGAAGATGTGAACATCAAGACAAATCCCGGCAGCTTTACTCTGGGGTTAGGGGTTAGTGGTTAGGGGGGTGGGGGTTAGAGATTAGGGTTAGGGTGGGGGTTAGGGTTAACAACCCAATAACTTATTGCTAATAATGGTTAACAATTACAATACTATATTGTTGATAACGCAAGGAGCGCCTGATTTTTAGAATGTCATTATTAATTATTCTTTGGATATTTGGGACTTTTTTCGGCATATAGGCCTTACTGCCCCCCTGGTGAAAAAATGTTGCGTATGGCCCTGATCCTGAATCTAAATCTGTCTAATGTTGCCAAAGTTCACTCAGTATATAATTATGCTAATTAACCTATGCCTAAAACTTTCTATAACCCAGGAAAATGACATGGATGCAATAAATCTGTAAGGGTGAATTTACCAATTTATTTTCATAATTACAAACCTTTAGTGCTTGGACTTCTTTCCAGAGCTGAATACTCCATGCAAATTTTGAAAATTATGTATGATCTTAGAATCTATAAAAAATCAACATGTATTCAATTCAAAGCAAAACAGGAATTGGATAAACTTGGCTGAATTAGCCCAGATATTATTTCTATCCCCTCAGTTGGAAATAAGTAGGCATAAGAAATAAGCATAAGTTAACTTCCTTTTTCTTGCCAATAATGCAGGGGGAATTTCTTGTTAGTTTGTGGGATAGCCTGTCCTGTGTGTTGCAATTCACACAAACTAGCCAGCTAGATTGCCGGATGGTTGAGGCCTGTAAATACAAAGGCGAGTGAGTTAGCCATGCAAGCAAGGCAAGTTACTGTTTGTATGGGATTGGCTTATATAGCATTTGCTAAGCAAATTCCATATAAACAGAAACTTAGCATAAATTTGTGCAAAACACAAAGTCGCTTAAAAGATTAAAAGATTTCAAAAACATTACATACAAAATATAATGATAATACAAGAATTAATGGCAAGAAATTCAGGAAAGCTGATATCTAATCATTCATATTTATTTGTAAGCTATTATTTTAAATGCAAGACAAATTTCTACCTTTCCCGAGTAAAGTGTTTAGACGGATGGTAAAATAAGTCATTTCACCTGGGCAAGATTTTGTGTCTTTCTGCCAGAACTTGCCAAGGTGAGTTGCCAGGTTGTATCATATAAACTCACCTTGCCGGGTAACTTGCCTCCATTTAAACAGGCCCCTTATATAGACATTCTCATATGAACAACCCCTATAAACATGATTTTTTTGTGTTGGTCTTGTGTACTCAGGTGAATATGATATGTGTGATGTTACTCTGAGTGAGTATCCACACCAAGCAAGCTTGAAAAATATGCCTGGCCAC